GATCTAGATATCAGAGGCTGGTTCTCCAGTCCCCTCACCTTTTGCAGTGACCTATGCTCAGGCAGGATGAGTRAAAAGTGGGTTGAAAGGCAATGCCCTCATGGGGAAGCCCTGCACATGTAGGTCTCCCCTCACAAAGTGGAGAGCACTGAAAAAATCTACCTCTGTTCTTTTAGTCTGAAAATTGTTACCTGCCTTTTTTAATGACAYRTCCTCAGTGGTCCTTGAATCTGTGRACTGCACATGGAGAGGGCTACACTAATCCAGCCTTTGGTATTCCAGGATCAGACAGTCAAGAGCAGTATAAACCTAGCAAACTGGGATATCACAGGTTGGGTGAAAAAAATTGTATACTATGGAGTCAGCATCTCATAAGAGGCATTTCTCTTCAGAACCTCACAGCAGGAATGAAATAATTTTAAATATATGTGTAAAAGAATAAAGATCATTAAAAAATGTAAAATGTAAAATACATTTCTTCATGCACTCTAGAGTAAGTTTCCATTCAAGCTGCACAGTGGCATTTTATTAATAGCTCAGTATTTCAAATTATATACATATTTGACTCCAGGAAAGAAAGAACGTCTGAATGTGTTTCAAGAATAAGCAATAGATTTCTGGAGGAATATTGAGATTACTGRATCATATCATAGCTGAAGAGATTAATTAAATAAACCTTAATATCTCCAAAGCCAAATTAAAGGAGCTGTTTCAATGACCCAGAGGATGAATGTGCCCCAATATCTAATGGAGCTGTGAGCATTTGGGACAGGTCCMTGATGCAATCCAGAGGGTGCCCAGGTCATACAGAGAGATATCCCAGATATCCATGCTGGGAGCTGAGTGGAGACACACGAGTTTGGGTCCTGGGGCAGCAAACAGCTCCTCTTGTAYAGCATTATTCTGTGGAGACAATTATCTGCATTTCTTGAGATACCAGACCACTAACATTCACAAAACTGGAGATGCTCAGTGAGGASCTCCTTAGAGGCCTGCCCTATTAAGTCCAGTGGCTCTTGCTGCAGCTCAGCACCAGGAAAACGGGCTTTTTGGAGAACTGGAAAAAGAAGCAATAATCAAACTACCATCAGCCCTCAGCTGTCACTGCAGCTTGGTTGCAGGCAGAAATTTCTCTATGCCAGTGATGCCCTGTGGGGAGCAACCTCCACATGTCAGGATGGGTGTCCTCTCTTTTGAAACAGAAGGTTTTTAGAAATGGTACAGAAGCTGAAGTAGAATGGCTRACAACAGATTAATAAATATTTTACCCTGACAATGCAAATACTCACCACAGAGCGTGCAAGGGTCTTTCTACAAAAGGGTTTTCTTGACATTTCGAGGTTCTGGGATCTGTCTGGCTGCTAAACAGCCCTATGGAATAATTGCCTCATCTGGGTTTGGCATGATTATAATTATTATTTAATGTGGACATTATTGTACATTATCTCTTTAAAAGTTTTTGCTGCCAAAGAAAACGTGCTGGTTCTTGAGAGGATGCTTTTGAGAGGTAACTGGCTGACACCTAGTGTTTAAAATCCACTCACACTAGGAAAAGAAAAATAAGGTACATAAAAAAGCAACTGAAAAGGGGTATTTCTGTCAAGAAGAGCTCTCCTTTGTTTCAAAGTAGCACTTCATCAGCAGTGCTCAAGTCAGGGCCTGAGATGCCCCAGAAAGACMGCATTTAAAGAGATCACAGGACATACTGTCATACTGAGTCAATAATCATCATGATCTGATAATCATCATGTTTCCACTARCTTAATCATCTGAAATGTGCTGTCTCTACCCCAAATCTCCCTGTGCCACATCTGACCCATTGCTCTAGAGATGAGAGGAAAGAAACCTATCACCCACCAGCGGAATGACCCTGCCAACTCTGTGCTCCCACAAAGCCCAGCAGTGCCCTACTTTCCTCTAATGGAAAGTGGTTTAATCAACATTTTTATTACAAGTCCCTGGGATAGAAATAGGGCAGAGATGACCAAGAAAAATTCCCCAAACAGGTTATCTTGAAGCCTCTTAGTTTCAAATTAGCATCACTAGCCTTCCCACCAAGCACAGATCTCTCCTATAACAGACACTAACTTCTATCTCAAGGAATCCAAAATATGTACTACATATGAGATAGGTATTCTGCTATTTTATTCTTTATTGTTTCCACAAGGAAATAAATTGAAAGATATATGATGTAAATAATTTGAAGTTTTTATATAGCCCTGAAGACCCCATACTTTCCAGACTCTTCAGTCAAGTAGGGCAGGTTTTCAATGAATCAAAGCTGACTATATTAACAATATAATGAATATATGTTGCTGTAAATTCTTCCCAGACTGAGGAGAGTGGGCACAATTTTGCTTGAGTCCGYCTCTTTCCATTTTTGCCAGATGTTGAAATGGTCCATGGTATATATATCACTGTTTCTTTTTATTAGATGTCTAAAAGGGATCATGGATAAAGCTTTCCCATCCTGTGTATTTTAAATAAAAYATTTTGTTCTATAAAAAACACCTACCGAAATTATGCAAGTAGATAAAGACCCTTGCCAAACTATCACTGAAACTCTGGGCAAATAAAGTTTGCCTGGAAGATGAAGTTCATCAATGAAGATGAACTGGGTGACTTTTTGAAACCTCCCAGTTCTGCCATTTTTKGGGTTTAGGTGTTAGCTGAGCTGTACATTTTGCTGTTCTCCTGAAGAGGGAGATCACACGCTTGGTTTCAACATTAGCAGGGAGCTCATTGATCCCTCAGTCTGGAAACACAAACGATGCCTCAGCCATTCCTCCAACTGCTCTAAAGATATGGCTGACCTGGACCAGTGCTCCATTTCCCCTCAAGTAGAGCCTGTAGCAGGAGCACAGGCAGAAATTTGTGTTGCATCCTCCAGCTTTKCTACCTGATAGTGATGAGAATAAAAAAGTGAACTCAGACTTCAGCCTAAACACTGTGGCCCAAGTTTCTCTGCCCTTGCTGTTGAACAGGGGTGTTTCTGATCAAAACTGCTGTAGTTGGCTTAATAATACAGGAAACAAACATTCTGAGATATGAAATGTGACTTCTTTAATTGTGCTGTGAAGACTTCCAAAGGCTATACCTGAGTAGCTGTTCTTTGGCCAAAATATCCTCTTTTACCTGGATAGAAAATGACAGAATAATTAGGTCAAGAAAATCTACTCTGAGTCTGATCATCTAGTGTGTAATGAAAGAGAGATGGTCATCCTCTCTTGGACACCTGTCCTAGTCTGAGACTGCTGGAGATCTTTTCTCCATATCCCAGTTCTGTTTGGTTAGACACCTGAACTTGAGGSAGCAAAAATTAGAATCTTGTATCTTGTAGTGTATCTTGTCCTTAATAAAAGCCAGATCTGCAAGTTAGAGCAGGAAGTGGACTTCTTTAATACTCTCAGTGCAGTTAAAGCAGCAGACTCGTTCCAAATTAAACCAGTTTGAAACTTGAGGCACATTTCTGGTTGGAGGTAGGTTGTTTGCACGGTAGGTGGCAGCGTTTGGTAAGCAGAGCAGCCTTTGTGCRGAGYCYCAAGGTYGAGGGCGGCTTTGCTGACTCYCATCATCCCCTTGCAATTATTCTCYTCTAAAAGYRAACAGAAGGGGMTATTTATCCTYCAGAAGMTTCAGTAAGGTRCGTCTGATATCTCCATAGTCACTGATGTTCAGGAAGAAACACAAACACAAAATAATGCTCCTAGCCCTGCGTTCCTGTGTGCTGCATGTGCTTAACTGGAGTGGGGACTTGGASTTAAAGCAGAAAACCAGAGAGCCATGACATACCTGGTTTTGTGACCCTGACAAAGGGATTTTGACTTGTGCATGCATTAGTGGAGAGAAAGAGCAACCTATGTGCAATGCACTGCCCAGKGTCTCATCAGGTCCCACTCCAGTTCCAGAAGGTGAAATCTTAAACACAGGAATATCATTCACCAGTAAGGCAAAGGCAGGAGCTTCATGGGCAGGAGCAAGGCAAGCTGAGTAAGATTTTCAGACAATCATAGACTCATTTGGATTGAAAGGGATCCTTAAAGACCATATATTTCCAACCCCACTGCCATGGACAAAGATACATTCCCCTAGACCAGGCTGGTCCTCATCCAACATGGACTTGAACACCAYCAGGGATGGGGCAYTCRCAGCTTCTCTGGGAAACCTGTTCTACTGCCCCACCATGCTCACAGTAAAGAATTTCTTCCTAATGGCTAACCTAAATCTATCCCCATTCCCTCTTGTCCYRCCACTAAATGCTGTTGTAAAAAGTCCCTCCCCASCTCTCTGGGYAGCCCTCTTTAGGTACTGGAAGGTGCTATAAAGTGTCCCTGAAAYCATGTCTTCTCCASGCTGCACAACTCAAACACYCTCAGCCTGTCTTCAGCCCCCTGASCATTTTTGKGKCTCTCCTCTGGGACTGCTCCAAYAGCTCCATGTGCTGAGGACTCCAGCAGTGCACACAGGACTTCAGGTAGGGTAGAGGGGGAAAATCCCCTCCCTTTCCCCACTGTCCATGCTGATTTGGACGCAGCCCAGGACACATTGGCTCTCTGGGCTCCAAGTGCACATSRTGGGTCATGTCCAGCCTCTCAGCCCCCAGCATTCCCAAACCCTTCCCAGCCAGGCTTCTCTCCATCTGTCCATCCCCAGCCTGTGTCCATACAGGGGGTGCCCTGGCTCAGGTGCAGCACCTTGTGCTTGGCCTTCTTCAACCCCATGATGTTTCCATGGGCCAGAGAGAGTATGTCCAAATCCTCCTGGATGATATCCTGTCCCTCGGTCGTGTCAACCACACCACTGCWCTCRGTGTTGTCAGCAAACTTGCTGAGTATTTTGTATATACTGAGGTGTTTAATGCTGTACTGAGTGTGGCACAATTTTGCTTTCAAATCATTACCTTACTTTTTAATATTGCACATTAATGCACTATTGGAGAAGAGATCTTGGATAGGTTTAGAATAATATTTTATTTTAAGGAAAAGTTATACCATTTTATGAATACATTGGTCAAGTATTTCTTGGAAGGATCCAGATATTGGATTTCGTATTATCGAATTTGCACTTTAGGATTAATTTTCAATACAACYGATATTATGATATTGTTTTATGTGATATTTCTCTCAAGGCTGTCGTGTTCATGCAGGCAAGCTCTGAGTATTGACCAAAGCCTCTTGTAAGAAAAGCAATTTTGAAAGAATTCCATTTAATTCTTCTATTTTCAGGTAAAATAATAAAATTACTTGAATCTCTATGTTCTGTCTTATTTTAAATCCTGGCACTGCTTTAGGGCTTCAAGCACTGCAAGCCAAAACTATATAAAATATATGTTTATAAAATATATTTTAAGGAACAATATAATATTCCCTGTGGCCTGATTTCATTCTATGAAGTCTGTGTTCCAGATGTGAGTGGCCAGTGTGSCTCCCCTTTACCCCTCTTACCTCACATCTGTTCTGATTTTTTAATTTTATCCATTCYATATCGTCACCAAGAAAGGAATCTGTAAGTTCATGATGCTTTCTAATRCTTCCTCTAGTGATTTTTATGAGAAAGTAGGAGTCCCTTCCCCTCTTCTTAAGAAAACATCGAACACTGGACAATGAAATTAATTGTACTGTCTATCCACAGACATGGTGTCTGACCATGCAAAAGAAAAATTATTTTTATATTGTTATTTCATCCAACCAATATTATTCTGACATGGAAAAGTATTATCAGTAATGAAAGCAAGGAATTTTTAGGTATCTTCCAAATCTTCCAATAATTATGTCAATCATTGATTTGTATTTCACATCTACAAAAAAGAGAAGTCTTCATTGAAAAAACAATTCTTTCTCTTCTAGTCAAATAAATATTTTCCCAATTAAGTGTTAAAATAATCTTCTCTGATTGTGTACCTGAAAATGAACTAGCATAGCTCATCACCTCATGGAATCAGTAGGAAAGATTGCTGTAAAAGGACAKGGAAAAATAAATAGCAAAAATTGGTCAGTTCTGAACATTAACTTCTCTGAGTTAAACTTATTTAAACAATCACTGTACAACAATCACAGTACAGGAGAAAACTTTGTTTTCTTTACCTTGTCTGAAGTTTTCTCATTTTACTAATTTTGCCAACTGCAAAACCCACAACATTAAAAAAACCTTATGTTTTCACACATAACTCTTCTTTCTGTTTGATGTGTACTTACAAAGTGCAGTGACTCAGAAAAGGATTTGCTYTGGAGTTTTAGAGAACGCTTGTGAGATTCTCTTGCTGTTTCCAGAAACATTCACTGCTTCCACCATTTCTCATGACCACTTCAATCTGATGCTGAATAGCTGGTATCAGATTATTATGAGCAGCCAGTCTTCAAAAGGTCTTGATCTATCAGACAGCTTGGAAGCTATTGCAGCATTATAAAATACTAACTCTCATTTCATTTTAACCCAAGCAGACCTCATCAGCTCACATTGTCTGAGATGCTGTAATTTTGCTGGGCTGAAGGTCAGWTTTTTGAGAGACTAGCTTCAAAATACTGTTTTGTGTTTGTGATCCAAAGCTAATTTTAAGAGTTGCATAATGTCAGAGCACAGAATACTTCAAATTATTGGGCTCAGACAAACTCCCATATCAGGTCTTCTTTGTTCTGTTAGCATATTGTCCACCTCTTGGAAAGGTACTCTTGCACACAGATGAAAAAGGCGTGTCATCTTTACAGGTCTTCTGACATGAATTCCTGCAAACATTTCTGTAGTTGGATGTTCTCATCTCTGTTCTCTTCKGGTATTCCCACAATAACCTCTGAGYGCATCTCCATTTGCATTGGCACATGTTGCTGTTGGAGAAAAATTACATTATGCAAAACATCTGCATTCAATGGTATTAAAAGTTCTGTAYACTGTTACAAGCACCCTATTTATTCGGAATATCTGGGATTAGTACAGGTTATTTATTTGGTTGCAACTGGAATACAAAGATTATATTAATTACTCTCTCAATCTACAAGTTGCTCATAGGCAAATTTGCTTAGCTGTTCTGAACCTTAATTTCACTGCTTGGCACTCTCCAGGTGCTATGACTCTCTACCTCGGGCTTACATGCGAGTCACAGCCTCACTTTCAGGGGTTATATTTATTTTTTTATAAAATGGATTATCTCAGCACCATTCTCCACAGTTGTCTTGAATCTTTCAAAATATTCACTATCCAAAGCCACTGTCTTTGCTACTTCGTGTGTCAGCAATATATGAAATACTGATATGTTCTATGTGTTTTATTTAATTTATCTGTCCTAGAAGTGCCATCAACAGTCACTTGWATCCCAAGATCACAGTTTCATCTCAGCCATTTGTTGCTATCATGTAGACAGCAATTACCCCGCTATGCTCAAGTATTCCCATCAAAGGTTTATTCACTGTTTGTAACAGTTTGGGGACAGAAATCGCTTCTTTCTCTGTCAGAAATATTAAATATCATTTTTGTGGTGATGGTGGTGGGATTTTATTTATATATTAAACACCCCAACATAGCAGCTTACACAGCTCTAACATGAAGAGAGGTGCAGAATATAAACTTGGTGGTGACGATTCTGTCTTTATATTCTGCCAGCCCATATTCATATCCACAATGGGTATTCTCAGTTAATTTGCTCACAATTAGTGGCAAAAAATGGGTGAGAAGGACTTTTGCACAGAAAAGGTGATAAGTACACTTTTCAACCAGCTGAGCTCAGGGTCAGTATGGCACCTTTAGCATCAAATTTGGTCAAATTATGTTCATCAGAAGTGTCATRGAAATTATTTTGAATCTCAAGGATAAGAGATATGGGTTCAGGCCAGTTCTAGAGCTCTTGAGCCTGAGAAGAAGATTGTAGTGAAGAAGAAGAGCTCAGCCTTCTCTGGGGAGGCAGCTCGAGTTCATTATGGAAWGAAGTCCAGGTGCAAATTCAAAATKCTTCAATCTTGTAATATGTCATTGGRTTATATAGAATGTGCACATCATTTTTTTCCCCATACATTTGTTAGGAGAAGGTAAAATTAAACAAAACCACTCATTCCTCTTGCCTCAAAATTCAAATTATGATTTCTGGATTGAGATGTTCTGTGGTTTTTGTCAGAGTTTGTAATCACATAGATATATTATTAAAAAAAAAAAAGAAAAAAAACCCAAAACACAATACTGGAAGGCATTCATCTTTTCCCTTTGGAAAGAAAACAGCATAATGGAACACACTGGGAATTGTTAGTTAAATTGCTGAACACACTACTAGAAGATATTTTGATATTACAAATATCAAAATCAATTGATAGTAAGTACAAAAATATGGCAGGATAGAGTAAAATTAGAAGAAGGATTAGTAAAATTAGAGAAATCCTGCAGAGGCTCTGAACAAATATTTTGAATAAATGAAGCATAGAAAATCCTCATTTCATTTTTCTATTTTAATGATGTTTTCCACCAAAAAAACCCATAGTTTGGGTGCACCTGTGCCTTCTCCTCATGTGATGCAGAACCAGGTAAGAAGCAATCTTACTGTGCCTYCTAGAGCACAGATCACTGTGTAGCTTCTCTGGAGTTACACAGATCTAAACTACTTCCTGACCATCACATTTCTTTCCTGTAACTCACACAATGACAGACAGCAATAAGAAATATTGAATGTGTGAGCCAGGGAGCTCCATTAATGGCTGTCACAAATATATCATAAATACTTTTTTTATATTAATATATATCATTATTATCATAAATAATATATAAAAGTCTTTGTTTTTCAAAGTTGACTAAAGACTTGTAATCTGGCATGAGATGAGCAAGCACCTGAATTTACAGCAYGCCAGCTCTTCCAGAGTAAACACCTCTGCACATGGCTTTGCCCTCCAGCAGGGGTACAGCTGGGGGAGTTTATGTTGTGTGCCTTGGGGAGCCTCTCCTATTTGCTATAAGAATAAGAACATTTACTACAGCATAGTGATTTGCAGATCTCCACAAAAAAAAAAAAAAAATCTCTTTGATAACTGGCCTACATGCTTACACATGTAATATCCTTTAACTGACTATTCTTCAGGGTCAGGGTGATCACTCCTTAAAATGTTGGCCCACTGAGTGAATATTCTGAAACACCTTGAGGCACATTAGACATTTTAGTGTCCTGAGGAATTTCTCCATCATTGTCCTGTAACCTCCACAAGTTTTCTGTTCTCTTCTGGCTTCTCTACAAATATTGTGCATACCGTTCCCCCTTTTTTTTTTCTTTTTAAAATTACCTGCTCCTTCAAATGCAATATTTACCATTCCAATTGTAAATAATACCATGCTTGTCAATGTAGTGAGAGAAAAAAAGACAGCCACACTACCTGGTGGTGAATCTCATCTGCTAACCAGYTTTTGATATTATCTGAAGGATGTGGAACAGGCGTGGTTAGAGCCTCCAGGCATCCATACCTACAAGACAGAGATAGAGGCACGCAACTATTCTTGTCTGCAGGAGCAGATGATACATTAATGCTTTGTAATACTCATTCCAGTTGCAAGACAGGTGTTTACTATTTCTAAAGCAATTTAAACTCTTTTTTCCTTTTTTCACTATAGACACTTTTCTCAGCATTTTCCCTAGCTTTTCTTCAGCTGACTGGATTCTAACCTGCAAGTTTTAAAAAGGGCTGGATGGATATACACAAAYCTATGATTTCTACACCAATATTATTTCCAACAAAAGTGACAACTTGTGGCATTCTACTGGGTCTATAGCTTAAAAAATTAGTCCTATGTCTTCTTTCCATAATTAAAAAATAATAACTTCTTTTATACAAATCAAGACCAATAATTTTTCATTAATTAAACAAYAAATATACTTTTAATAGAGTTTCCATTTGCATACTGCACCTTCCAAATGTTCAGGTTTCTTTAGTTATCATCCTGTCCTGACCAGGTTTATTTCTCGGTTCAAGAAAGCATTTGCAGCGGTGTCAATAGGAAAACTATGTAGCCAGGGAGAAAAGCAGTGGCATGGAGACAGTTTGCTGCATTAACTGTTGGTGGGTGTAGGACCACTACTATTACTTTGCTCTACTAATAGTACTAATAGTACAGCAAAGGAAGTTCCTTCCATCAGSCTGACTTCCCCTTTTTATCTATTTCTGGTAAACGGTCCAGCTAGAGTAAAAGACTGCTGTCATAACACCCATGAATAATGAAATTAAATTGGACTGCATGGCAGGCAGTTCATCTTTGGCCTGATTAATATKGGTGGCCTTGAATGCAGAACCTGTGAAAGCACAGGGTAAAAAGTCATACTGAGGATAGAGAGGCAGCTGTCAGAGTAAGATTTTAAAATGTCATTTGTAGTGGCAGAAAGACATCTGAGAGTAAGGTGTGAGACTGGATCTGTGGGGTTCTGTGGTGGGAGCTGCAAGAGGAGTTGTAACTCTCAGTGTCTTACACTAGATCATAATGCCAAGCACTGCTTTGTTAGAACAATAGTTGGAAATAAACAATTAAATGCTTCTTGTAAACATAATTTATCTGAGAAGATCTCTGTTGGACTTTTATCCATTGTATGATTTACCCTCATCCTGACCCCKCTTCCAAGAAATTTATACAGCCATCCAGGAATGAACACTACCTTCTGCATGCACACATCAGCAAACCTCCAAGGAAAAGCAGAGGACAGAACACTGTGAGGCTCAGCAGGTGG